ACACACACACACACACACTCAGACACACATACAAACACACACACACACACACACGCACACACTCATATAATCTCACGCAATTGATGAAAGAAGGAATAACATATTAACAGAAAAAAAGAAAAAAGAAAAAAAGGCCATTGAGTGAAAGAAATCGATTTCCACTGTTCAACGTTCCCCAAAAAGCTGTACAGATTTCAGCTATTAACAGAACTGGTTCTGTAATGAGTCCATGACTTATTTTCACGGGTTGGAGAAAATGCTATTTGTTTGCAGACTTTCCTCGGCTCAATACTTCCTGGAAGTCAATTCATTTCTTACACTACCCCAGCACACTCAGCACTCGGCCGTCCACCTCACGTGAGCAACAGTTCACAGTGGCTGCTCGAAGAAGTTGTCAGTTAGGTTCTGACGTGAAAGGGGGCTATTTTGTCCAGTAGTTTCGTTTCTCTGTCAGGATATCGAGCCCAAGCCCGTTCAGGTTGGCACTCACACGAAGAATCGATGAACATCGCTTACTGTCATTACCATAATCAAACTTTGTCAATGACTAGGGGGAGAGGGGGGGGGAGGAGGAGGGACGGGGTTTCTTGACAATCAATATCATCACGTGTTAGACCCTTTGTGCTTTTGTATGCTTTTAAAAAACAAACTACACTGTGAAAAGAATATCCTATTGTAATTCAAAAAAAATAAAACAATCAAAGGTGTCCACCTCCACACGCCCAATTCGCTGTCGATAATACACGTTGCTTCTCAAGAGTAAAATAAATTTAGTTGTCATGTTTCTCAGCGCTTCCATTTTGTGTTGTTATTGAAAGTGCACTTTCTGTTTCTGTCTCTCTGTCTCTCTGTCTCTCTGGCTCTGCCCCTGTCCCTGTCTGTCTGTCTGTCTGTCTGCCTGTCTGTCTGTCTGTGTGTCTGCTTGTGGATTACACGGCTAAATTCCCCCTAAATGAATTGCGTGTGAGGAATAAGGAATGCACTCTATGCGCTTGCATGTTGTAGATGTGTGTTCAAATCTTACCTGAATGATACGCTTGACATAGCGCATTAATTTTTATTTTCCTACTGGGAACCACACCGTTAATCTCGTTCTGAAGCAGGTAGTCTCCGGAATATTCCAACTTCAAATATTGCTGATGTAAAATATTGCAATCAAATTTTAAGAAGCCTTCCTAAAAAGACGAATTGCCTTAAAAGCTACAATGCAAGAAAAAAATTGTTGATATAATATTTTACCTTAGTTTTGCCGTTGACAAAATAATCAGCGTGTGAAATATAATTATTCTTTTTCACGGGGTTCTGGATCTTGTGAAGGGTGGAGTTTGTATTCAGTATATAATATCATTATATTTTTCTACTGATAGGATTGTATTCATTTCGACCAGGGTTGGCCTTGGCAGGTGTGGTCTAAAGAAAAGTTTATATTGTTATTTCCTTATTTTATCTTCGCTATTTAAGATAATTCCACCTTTTCAAGACGATAGATGTTCTAATTAAATACATGTAGTACTGGTATTCTAAATTCATTTTGGGCGCTAACGTGGAAATTCTGTTCTTTGTGTGTGCGTGTGTGTGCCCGTGCGCGGGCGCGCACGTGTGAGTGTGTGTGTGTGTGTGTGTGTGTGTGTGTGTGTGTGTGTGTGTGTCTGTGTTTGTATGTGTATGTGTATGTGTAAATGTGCCATTGTGTGTTTGTATGTACGTGTGTGTATGTATGTGTTTGTGTTTGTGTTTGAGAATGTATATGTATGTGTGCGTGCGTGCGTGCCTGCCTGTGTGTGCCAGTGTGTGTGTGTGTGTGTGTGTGTGTGTGTGTGTGTGTGTGTGTGTGTGTGTTTGCGTGTGTCTGTTTGTATAAGTGTGAGTTTTTCTTTTGTTATGAATTGCTCTTAAATCTACTGACACTAATAAATCAAATTCATTGTTTTATAACACAATTTTTACAGATCAGTCTCTGGTCCTGCCACCAATTATCACCATGGCAACATCTAAAAGCCACGGCCCTTCGGAGGCTCACTTCCACCGTGACTCGGCAAACTTCGTGCCTCTCCGCCTCGGCCCTGTAAGCAGGTCCAAAACACAAGCAGATTCCCTCAAACTGCCGTCGATGTACTCCGGAAACGGAAGAAGACAAAATGGCACCACAGCAGGTGGTGCTTCCAGTTATCCCAGAATTATCGTGCGAGACCCGATGGGAAGGACTCTGGACACGTTTACGACCCTGCAGGAGGCGATCTACAGAGCGAGCTGGACAAGAAAAAAGATGAAAGGTAAAAATTAGTTTATTATCCTAGACAGACATATTCGCACTACATGTACCATAATTCTTATTATGATTAGTGTAACCATTATTATTATTATTATTATCATTATTATTATCATTGT